GAATGGTCCTTGAAAAAATATTCTTTAAAAAATCCACGCCTCGGAATGGTCCTTGAAAAAATATTCTTTAAAAAATCCACGCCTCGGAATGGTCCTTGAAAAAATATTCTTTAAAAAATCCACGCCTCGGAATGGTCCTTGAAAAAATATTCTTTAAAAAATCCACGCCTCGGAATGGTCCTTGAAAAAATATTCTTTAAAAAATCCACGCCTCGGAATGGTCCTTGAAAAAATATTCTTTAAAAAATCCACGCCTCGGAATGGTCCTTGAAAAAATATTCTTTAAAAAATCCACGCCTCGGAATGGTCCTTGAAAAAATATTCTTTAAAAAATCCACGCCTCGGAATGGTCCTTGAAAAAATATTCTTTAAAAAATCCACGCCTCGGAATGGTCCTTGAAAAAATATTCTTTAAAAAATCCACGCCTCGGAATGGTCCTTGAAAAAATATTCATTAAAAAATCCACGCCTCGGAATGGTCCTTAAAAAAATATTCTTAAAAAAATCCACGCCTGGGAATGGTCCTTAAAAAAATATTCTTAAAAAAATCCACGCCTCGGAATGGCCCCTGAAAAAATATTCTTTAAGAATTCCACGCCTCGGAATGGTCCTTGAAAAAATATTCTTTAAAACTCCACGCCTTGGAATGGTCCTTGAAAAAAGATTCTTTAAAAAATCCACGCCTTGGAATGGTCCTTGAAAAATATTCTTTAAAAATCCACGCCTCAGAATGGTCCTTGAAAAAAGATTCTTTAAAAAATCCACGCCTTGGAATGGTCCTTGAAAAATATTCTTTAAAAAATCCACGCCTCGGAATGGTCCTTGAAAAAAATTCTTTAAAAATTCCACTCCTCGGAATGGTCCTTGAAAAAATATTCTTTAAAAACTCCACGCCTTGGAAGGGTCCTTGAAAAAATATTCTTTAAAAAATCCACCCCTCGGAATGGTCCTTAAAAAAATATTCTTTAAAAATCCACGCCTCAGAATGGTCCTTGAAAAAATATTCTTTAAAAAATCCACGCCTCGGAATGGTCCTTGAAAAAATATTCTTTAAAAAATCCACGCCTCGGAATGGTCCTTGAAAAAAATATTCTCTAAAAAATCCACGCCTCGGAATGGTCCTTGAAAAAATATTCTTTAAAAAATCCACGCCTCGGAATGGTCCTTAAAAAAATATTCTTAAAAAAATACACGCCTCGGAATGGTCCTTGAAAAAATATTCTTTAATAAATCCACGCCCTGGAATGGTCCTTGAAAAAATATTCTTTAAAAAATCCACGCCTAAGATAATTCTTGAAAAATATTCTTGAAAAAATCCTCGCATTTGATGATCTTTGAAAAAATATTCCTCAAAAATCCTCGCCTTTGATGATCCTTGAAGAAATATTCTTTAAAAATTTGACGCCTTAGATGATCCTTAAAAAAATATATTTTAAAAATCTACGCCTGTTAACTCTTGAAAAAACAATATTTAAAAAATTCACGCTCCTTTAAAAAATTATAAAATCCAAGCCTTGAAACACTATTTTTTAAGAAGTTCTCCCACGTTCTCCTTGAAAAATTATTCTTGAAATATACCACACCATATGTACTCATTGAAAAATTTTATTAAAAAAATCCATGCCTACGGTGGTTGCTAAGTAACTTTAAAAAATCCACTGTAGATCCTTGAGAAAATAATGTTTTAAAAAATCAACGATTAACGAACGATCAAGTGGTTACTTGAAGAAAAAAAATGTCTAAAGACAATAATTAATGCCAATTTTATTAAAATTTTACAAATCACAGATTAGTCTTTACATGAACAACATATTTCTTTGTTCATAGATCTATGATAATATATTGTTTATTTAATACAGTGTTTTTTTTTCCATAATAATAGATATATTCCAACCAGTCTAGTTTGCTCTAATTTATTGTGACCAATGACAAATTGACAACAAAACGAAGATTAACTGCAATTTTCTGTAAATGTTGCTACAAAAAATCTGTGATTATTTATGTAAAAGACGACAATGATTACTTGAAAAATTACAAATTGCTTGGCTGTACAAAAGTCATCTGGCCCAGGTGACCACTTGTCACCAAGTTGACAACTGTTATCGTCGTATATGTTAGCATAATTGAGAAAATTAACATCATGTCAGGATAGAAAAGAACTGAAATCTAAAGATAAAATATTTCAGTAACGCATTATGCAGACAAAAAAATTGTACATATACAATGTTGTTTGTACGAGTCTCGTTCGAAAAGAGATATAATCATACCCAACATTATGGGGGCTCTCCTCTCAAAATTATGTCAACAAAATTGGCTCCCCAATACAAATGTTGTAATGAAAATCGCACACACACACACATGTTGTTACATATTACAAAAGAAATACCGATTATCTCTATTACGTTTATGTTAAATTATTACACATGTTGCTGTTGTTGTTGCATCAAGTCAACACATGTTGTACCGAGCCGAAATGTTGCACACAAAAAATGCATTCAAGTCAAACAAATTGTTCATTCCCTCTTTGTGTTGCGTTTCATTGCATTGCCATTAGTTTATGTTTTCAAAGGCTTTTGAGTTATGAATTGGTGACAAATTATTTGAACATACAAATTATTTGCACATACATACATATATCTAAATGCTACAATTATCGTCGTCATCATCGTCGTCGTATTACAATAGAGTCAAAGAAACGAATGGGGAAAAATTGCTGTCATAAATTATATCGTCATACAATTATGTGTTGATCCACATTGTTGGCTAGGCTAGTATGTAAAAGTGGTTTGGGGAGGGGTAGTTTTCCCTCCCATTTTCGTTGCGTTTTTATACCCTCCACCATAGAATGGAGGGTATATTAATTTTGTTTTTCCGTTTGTAACTCATCGAAATAATCATTTCCGACCCTATAAAGTATATATATTCTTGATCAGCGTAAAATTCTAAGACGATCTAAGCATGTCCGTCTGACCATCTGTCTGTCCGTCTGTTGTAATCACTCGAGAGTCTAAACGAGTTGAGCTGGATCGCCAAAATTTTGCAAAGAGTGGTCTTTTGTCTGCAGGCAGGTCAAGTTCGAAGATGGGATATATCGGTCCACGTTTAGGCATAGCTCCCATATAAGGGTACCCCCCAATTTTCGGTATTTTAGGGTTCTTGAGCGAGGTTTTCAACCGAATTCGCTGAAATTTGCTACATTGGGTTTTTATGGGGTACCAAATGTCCCCACTAAAAAAAAATATTGAGTTCAAAATTGGTATATACCGGTCATTAATTAGGCATAGCCCTCATATAATGATATTCCCAAATATTCACTATTTCCTACACTATGTAATCAATATTGGTCCCCCTTTAGGCATACCCTTTGTAATCTAAATTACAGTAGTTTAAGGATTTTATACTCTACCATGCTCTACCATCAGTCCACTTTTGGGATCTTACAGATTTTAGGAAAAATCCCCATTTAGAAATGTTGAAGTTTGTATTTGGTGTACATAAAGCGGGGTACACACTATCATTTTTGACTGTCAGTTTTTTATCGATTATTGACTGTCCAACAACCACACTATCAAACAAGCAAAATTTGGGCAAGAGTGCCATTCAAAAATGCTAGTGTGTACACCGCATAATGGTTTAAATAAATCGGTTTGTAGAATTATCGGTATATGGCCACTTTTTGGTATGTTCTCTATATTTTCATTGCATGTGTCTGTCAGTATATCTATGGTGGAGGGTATCCAAAGTTCAGCCCGGCCGAACTTAACGCTTTTTCACTTGTTTTTTTTTCATTTTACCCCGACAATTGTTTAGCCATATGTTGAATGTATATCATTTCTGTAATATCTAAGAAAACGAAATAGGCTTAATGTTCATTGGTTTGAATAAAAAACATGTATACATGTATGTATGCATGTAGTACTGTGTTTACTATCATTGTAATATAACCTGGCAACGATCTAGATATATATTTTTTTAAAGACCACCTAAGGAGTGGATTTTTTTAAGACTAATTTTCAAGAAAATCGAAGGCGTGGATTTTTTAAAGACTATTTTTTCAAGAAAAATCTAAGGCGTGAATTTTTTAAAGACTATTTTTTAAGAAAAATCTAAGGCGTGAATTTTTTAAAAACTATTTTTGAATATTTTAAAGACTATTTTTTAAGAAAAATCTAAGGCGTGGATATTTTAAAGACCATCAAGTGTGTGGATTTTTTAAGAGAATTATCCAAAGAACCGGTATCGTAAATTTTTGGCATATTGAATTTTTAGACTCATTTTTAACCCAAAAAAATACACCTACACCGTTGATGGAGAATGATAAATATCTTTGCAGTAAATATAGGTCCATATTTTAACAGAATGGTATTTAGTGTTCTTAGAACATAAACAACCGACCGATTTGAAAAAAATGGACCCCATATCATGATAGAATATATAAAATTACTGCATATCCGAACAAAAGGACATTTTGTAATAACGCTACCCTCCGAAGGAATATTATATTTTACATAAAGTTTTATTTTTTTCGATTTTAGATATTTTGATTTTTTCGACACGGGTTTCAACCAAATTGATTGTAATTTCATAATATTGGTCCTCATTCTAGTCCCCTTTTGATTACTTGTAAATTCTTGGGAGAATATAGTCGGCATATGTCCACCTTTTTGTTATATTTCCTATTAAATATTTCAAAATCATTCACTTTACTGCAATATACCTCTGAGTGGGATTGGGAACTTTATTGGAAGTAACTATAAGTAAACATTTGGTGAAAACATAAGAAGTTCGGTCTGTTATTTTAAGGGGTGTTTTACCCTTATCTATGAAATGCCTACATATCGCGGACTTAGTTTTAATAAAAAATAAAATTTATTTTAAATTTCTTTGTAATCTGTTTTGTATACAATTTTGAAAACAATGAATATTTAATAAAAATAGTTTTCTTTTAATTTTTTGTTCCAATTTTCCCCCTAACAATATCCGTTTAAATTCGGCATTACTCTATTCATAAAATCATCTTGATCACAACAATACGTGTAACCAAGATAATTAGAAGGCGTCAAATACAGGCTCGTTGGACACGATACCGTTTTGCAAATATTCCCCGGTAATTGTGGCGGTACACGTTGATCATGAATATTATTATACTGAACGAATACCGTCCGAACACCGTTACGATCGAGAACAACTTTAAATGTCCACAAAGGCACCGGTATTAAATCATTATTACCAAAATAAATGGGTATTTCATTGCCAGCGTCATTAGGCAGTGTTAGGACATAGTCAAAGGCACCACTACAAACTTTGGACGGTGTGTTGGCAGGATTGCGGGCCCATTCTTCCATCAGACGCCAATTGCCATCGTTAATGGCATGGAATTGTGGTATGACATTTATCATTTTAAATGTGGATGCAATCAGGGTATTGGTCATAAAATCCCCAGCCGCCGTCAGGTGACCACGATCAAATCGCCGATTCTGTTCATTGGAAGACATAAACGATTGCTGGAAACCCAAACGACTTTGAAATTTTGCATAAATACTACGTTTATTGTAGGCTGAGAAGATGTTCATGGTGAAAATTTCATCAGGATCGAATTGCATGCCAAATGGTCGCCCTTGAACTAAAATAGGAAAAGGATGCACCAACAAATTTAATATTTCTTCTCCTCGTCATCAAAAAAATATCTACCAAATGGATAGGCTTCACTTATGGTAAAAACGGATCTCATTTGACGATGATCAAAACACACCGAATAGGTGGTGAAAAAATAATCCTGGTCACGACAGTGTATGTTATAACCAACACGATATAATTGATACCGACACAGAGCCTTATCCTCGTCGGCCTTTAGCTGCGGTTGTAAACGATACGAGCAGTGCGTCAACTGTGTGTCGGATATTAATTGACCATTTTCGCATTTCATTTCCACAATATCATCCATATTACAGACCATATAGAGTATGGAACCATTTGCTATGGGCTGTTGACGCAACAATTTCAATTCTTCATCCTTGAATTCGATAATAACATGCCAATCATTACGAATATTGTTGAGATAGCATGAAGAGAGAAGTGGTGGGACTGGAAAGAGAAGTGATTTTCTTATGTTAAGGACATCTGGTATTTTATAAGCAAACAGCGTCAACAGGCCTTCTTAATACCGTTTTTGATGACTTTCCATAAAAGAACCTCATAGCCTCCTATATGAAGGCCTTTTATTCTTCTATAAGAATACCACCTTCTAGTCTTCTATAAAAAGTACTATAAAATCTAAATTTTAGAAAATGTAGTTGAAAAACGTGCCAACAGTGCAAAAAGTACCCAAAACTATAGTTATATAAGACCTAACCTAAAACTAGTAAGGAAAGTAGTCGGACGGAGCCGACTATATTATACCCTTCGCCACTTTGGGTATATTCAACGGATGAAAATATATATGGGAGCTATATCCAAATCTGAACCGATTTTCACAAAACTTAGCACACATCTTTTTAGACGTAATTTATTACGCTGTGGCTAATTTCGTGCAAATCGAAAGATATATATGGACTTTGGTGCACCATTTACATTAAATCAGACGAAAATATGGGAGCTATATCTAAATCTGAACCGATTTTCAGGAAACTTAACACACACACAATTCTATACCTAATTCATTACGCTCTACCAATCTTGTGCAAATCGAAAGATATATAGGGACTTTGGTGCACCATTTACATTAAATCGGACGAAAATATATATGGGAGCTATATCTAAATCGGAACCGATTTTCAAGAAACTTAACACACATCATTCTAGACGTAATTCATTACGCTGGACCAAATTTCGTGCAAATCGAAATAAATATAGGGACTTTGGTGCATCATTTACATTAAATCGGACGAAAATATATATAAGAGCTATATCTAAATCGGAACCGATTTTCACGAAACTTAACACACATCATTCTAGACGTAATTCATTACGCTGGTCCAAATTTCGTGCAAATCGAAATATATATAGGGACTTTGGTGCATCATTTACATTAAATCGGACGAAAATATATATAAGAGCTATATCTAAATCCCAACCGTTTTTCAGGAAACTTAACATACATCATTCTAGACCTAATTCATTACGTTGTGCCAAATTTCGTGCTAATCGAAATATATATAGGGATTTTGGTGCTCCATTTACATTAAATCGGACGAAAATATATATAAGAGCTATATCTAAATCTGAACCGATTTTCAGGAAACTTAACACATATCATTCTAGACCTAATTCTTTACGTTGTGCTAAATTTCGTGCAAATCGAAAGATATATAGGGACTTTCGTGCACCATTTACATTAAATCGGACGAAAATATATATGGGAGCTATTCCAAATCTGAACCGATTTTTCCCAATTTCAATAGGGTTCGTCTTGGGCCAAATAAGTGACCTATGCCAAATTTCATCCAAATCGGATCATAAATGTGACCTGTATTTTGTTCACAAAAATACATGGACGGGCGGACGGACAGACTGCGTAAATCGACTCAGAAAGAGATTCTATGCATATTCTCAAAAGGAACCATGTGTCTATCTCGTTTCCTTTTGCCTGTTACAAACATACGCACAAGGAAATTATAATACCCTGTACCACAGTGTGGTGAAGGGTATAAAAATCGGAACAATTTTCATAAATTTAGGAGGGAGTGTTTGTTATCGAATGAGAATACAAAACACCAAATTTTAGCTAAGTCGGTTAAAAACGTGCTAAATATTCCCTATATTAAGGGTTACCCTTCTAAGGGGGTCTTACCAAACCTACGCCCTCGGTGGTCGTTGGAAAAATATTAAAAGAAAAATCCATGCCTTCGGTGGTCGTTGACAAAACATTCTCTAAAAAAATCCACCTATGGCGTGGATTTTTTCAAAATTTATGAGGTCCCTTAGAAAATATTCTTTAAAAAATCTACCCCTATGTAGATCAATGGCAACAAAACCATCCACGCCTCTGTGGATGTTGAGAATTAATAAATAATTTTAAAAATACACGCCTTAGTTGGTTCTTAAAAAACCCCGCCTCCTCTTAAAATTTTATCCATTTGATTTTCTGTTGGTGGTTCTTAAAAAAATATTCTTACAAAAATCCACGATAAGGTGGTACTTAAAAAAAATTCCCTCAAGAAACCACTCCTTAGTTGGTTAGAAAATCATTGGCTTGATGGATCCCTGAAAAATTCCACATTTAGGTGGGATTTATAACACGCTTACGTATTGCTTAAAATATTCTTTGAATATTTGTTGGGATATCTCAGGGGGTGTGTGAGGTTGGGCCCAATTAATTATGGATGGGCCCCACCTCCTAAGGATCAATAGTTCCCCTCTTGTGTTCGAAGAAACGTTATCCCAAATTAATTGACCTTCCACTTACCATTGGAGTATATAACAAGCACAACAATTAACAATTTTGTAAGTGAAAATAATTGCATTTTTTTTTTTTTTTTGAAGATTTTTTTATAAAATTAACGGAAACAAAATTTAGAAAATTCCGAACCAAAATGAAAGAAAAACAATTTCCGAATATTTCGTTTTTGAATAATTTTTCGATGACGGAAAACGATATGATATAGAATTTAATAAAAGTATTCAATAGGTACGGTATGAATGGTAGCCTGGAAACAGACACAATGGGGTTTTAATATACAACCATGTTTCAGAGAGCCCTCCGCAATAGGGCCATGTCCCATTTAAAATATTTTGAAAGTCGCAGTGACTGTAATTACATTTCTAATTCTTAGATGTTAATACCCCTTTTATGGGACTCCTTATCACAAGATTATGACCTTTACAAATAATCGTCACTAAGATTTATTAAAAGCTAAATTATTTTCAAACGAAAAAAAATGAAATAAAAAATAACAATAAAACCACACCAAACCCATGACTGTCTCTGAATTCTTCACTGCCCGTGAATACTTGTCAACGAAGTTGAGTTGGGAACCTTGAGTGCAAGTCATGTAATTAAACAAAAAAATTATAATAATAAAAAATACAATAATAACAAAAAAGACAAAGAAACTCGGATTAATTGTTTGATGTGTATTAGCTTTATTTCGTTTCTTTAACACAAATATTTTCAAATATATCTACGTAGTTCGTTATGAATCAATGGCAATAAAAATTTCACATTAGAATGATCTAATTACAAGTCTCAAGTCTCAACATCATCGGAAGGTCAAACCTGTCATTCATGCAACACAAAAATGAACTTGAAATGTTGAGTTTTCATTACCATCGCCCCAACATCGTGCTAAATTTTGTTTTATGAATGCATTCAATGATTCTCATTGGACGCACCTACAACAACTATGTATATTAACAAAAAAAATAAATAAATAATTTTCACATTAGTAATATCTTTCATTCAATGTGTCAGATAGTTGAGTTGAGTGCTGAACTGACATCCCCCTACGTCTATAGACAATTCAAGCTCCGAAGTCAGTCATTATGACAAAATTAATTGCTGGGTAAGTGCAACGTCATTTAAATTTTCATATACTTTGTAATAATATGCTATACAAACAAACAAAGCTTATGATACACAAATCCATGGTCCTTGAAAGAAGAATTCTTTACACAATCTACATTTGAAAAAATATTCTTTAAAAAAGCCACGCCTTAGAAGGTCTTTGAAAAAATATTCTTTAATAAATCCACGCCTTAGAAGGTCTTTGAAAAAATATTCTTTAATAAATCCACGCCTTAGAAGGTCTTTGAAAAAATATTCTTTAATAAATCCACGCCTTAGAAGGTCTTTGAAAAAATATTCTTTAATAAATCCACGCCTTAGAAGGTCTTTGAAAAAATATTCTTTAATAAATCCACGCCTTAGAAGGTCTTTGAAAAAATATTCTTTAATAAATCCACGCCTTAGAAGGTCTTTGAAAAAATATTCTTTAATAAATCCACGCCTTAGAAGGTCTTTGAAAAAATATTCTTTAATAAATCCACGCCTTAGAAGGTCTTTGAAAAAATATTCTTTAATAAATCCACGCCTTAGAAGGTCTTTGAAAAAATATTCTTTAATAAATCCACGCCTTAGAAGGTCTTTGAAAAAATATTCTTTAATAAATCCACGCCTTAGAAGGTCTTTGAAAAAATATTCTTTAATAAATCCACGCCTTAGAAGGTCTTTGAAAAAATATTCTTTAATAAATCCACGCCTTAGAAGGTCTTTGAAAAAATATTCTTTAATAAATCCACGCCTTTGAAAAAATATTATTTAATAAATCCACGCTTTAGAAGGTCTTTGAAAAAATATTCTTTAATAAATCCACGCCTTAGAAGGTCTTTGAAAAAATATTATTTAATAAATCCACGCCTTAGAAGGTCATGGAAAAAAATATTCTTCAAAAATCCACGCCTTAGAAATTCATTGAAATATTATTATTTAAAAATCTACGCCTAGGATTGTCGTTGAAAAAATATTTCTTAAAAAATCCACATTTCATTGTGTACCGACATCAAATACTTACATGTAATGATTATGAAAAATTAAATCACGTACCTGAAATGAAAAAAAGCGAATCGGATATAATAATTAATATTAAACAAGTATTATTTTTTAATAACATAATATTTTTTGCAAATTTATTTCCAATTATCGCGCCCATAGTTAAGCATTAATATGTTCTAATAATTTCCAAAATATTATTATGATTTCAAAATTCATAAAACCTCAACTGAAAAATGTGCAATACAAGGATTGTATTTACCGATAACCGATTGCAAAATATTGGTAATTACGCCATTACCCAAAAGTTGTCGATTGTTTCCATCACAATATTGCTATGCATTGCTTTTTTGAAAAGAAATAAATTTTAATTTTCATTTTGATATAAAACCCACCCAAAAAGTAAATTTTTTCAGCTTTGGTTTTAAATCAAAACCACCTTCACTTTTTTTTGGGTATTTATTGCTAAAAGGCATACAGTTCGGCTATTGTTTTTGTATGCCTTTGATTTGAAGCGAAAGATTGTGTTAAAAGTCCAATTAAGTATATCATAGGTATAGCTATGGAGGTAATCAGATCATTAGGCGGCGGCGGGCAT